CTAAGGTAGTAGCCATCCACATCTGGTTGGTACCAGCACACCTTTTAGATCGATTTGTAAGCCATGTCTGTGCTTTTTGTTGCTGTCTTAATTGATCAATGGGAACTCCCCATGAGATCAGAGTGTAGGCTGCAGAGCTGATGAAGGCAGATTGGGATTCTGAGCTACCCTCTCATGCAATGTGCTTATACCTGCCTTCCCTTCTCAGGCCAGTTTTCTCTACACAACTTTCATTTACTTAAGAACGTTGCTATTACATCTACATTAATGATTTCATAGATGGTTAGTTTAGTTCTTATGGGTGGTCTAGTTCTTGACAAGGAACCGTGTTGTATAATCAGATGTGGATCCAGTTTTAGAAAGTCAGTCTCTACCAATGCTCAGTAGCAAAGCAAGTGTAGCCTCGAAAATGTGAGAGAGTTGTCAGCAGAAAGAAAGGCTTTATTCTAAGCCCTAGGTTGTATGTTCTCTAATTCCCTTTAGTGCAATGGCAAGAGAACCCATAAAGCATACGTATTTTTTATGGCCAGTGCTTGAGCCCATTCATTAAATCCCAAATCCTCAGTGAGTTCATCTGTTTTAATAAATAAATTCATCGTCATCTAATCTTATATTTTGCTTTCCTTTGTCTAATACTCTTATATCTTCTGCCATATGTTTCCTAGATACCTAAGAATTAAAATTGACAAAACTCCTTTAGTTTAATAGTTTTCTCCTCCTGAGCAGTTCTTCCCTTTCTCTGTCTCAGCTATGCTAGGATTTAATTATCTTTATGCACTAGGAGGCAATGAACCCTAGTGGGGATAGGTCCTTAGAAGAATTAGCATCTCCTAAGGAAGCAACTCTATGGGAAGAGACATTAAAACATTTTTATGCAAAAGAAGAGTCTTATAGTTTCCTAGGTAGAAACAAGGAAGGTTTGAGGACTGGAGGTTCAATGTCTCAGACTCATCCCTTTATCTTCAAAGATTCTCACCTCACATCTCAGATCCCACCGCCTTATAACCAGCCCTTACTTCAGCACAGAAGGTCTGTCAGGACTGAGCACTTGTTTTGGCCTTGTAACCCTGCAACACTTAAAAGCAGTCCACAGATTTAATCCTCAGCCATGTTGGCCCTGCAATTGCAGGAAATAAGACATCCTGTTAAAGTAATCACAGAGGCTTTCAGAGTCTTCATGATGCATTGAGACAAGCATTCAAGGTTGTCAGTTTGTCTACATTTGTGCAATAAACATTGAAAATTTTTGTACCATGTAGTATTTCACAGATAATAGAATGTATATTATTTCAAGGAAAATAAAAAAAAACAGTCAGACATTCTATAAACTCCGTGGCCACTATTGCCACTTGTAATGGTTTAAAATATGTCCACAAATTATTAGATAGTCTCTTTAAAAGGTAAAACCTAATCCTACCCTCCCCATCCCTGGTTCAGTGTTGGTTAAACTTAGCTAATTACTTCTACTCTTCACAATCAGTTGGAAGCAATGGTTTGTGGTTTCTATATCACACACTTCCACAAAAAGTATATGGCCTCCTACTTACCTTCCACATGCAAGGAGAAACCAGTTTCATGTCATCACTCAGCCAGCTCCTATGAAGAGGCCTACACAGTAAGGAGCTGGGTCCTTTTGCCAAAAGCCAGCAAGAAACTGAGGTCTCTAGCCAAAACTTACAAAGGTGCAACATCTTAGAAGCAGATTCCTTCACCTCAGTTAAGCCAACATATGGCTGCAGCCCCAGTTAGTTATTTCAACTGCAACCTCTTTGAAGTCTGTAAGCCAGAGATACCTAAAATACCAGGTAAGACACTCCTGACTTGCTGCCCCACAGAAACTGTAAGATAATTCGTGTTTATTACTTGGAGCCACTAGGTTTTGGGGTTATTTGTTAGGCAGTGATGAATAACTAATACACCCATGTAGTGAATAAATTTATCACAGGATATTGACCTCTGAGTGTCTCATTATTCCCTCCATCTCATGTCACTACCCACAGAAACTGGAATAGTCCTGATATTAATGTATGAGCTCATCAAATACGTGAGCAACACAAGCCCAGATTCCCATTTTGAAAGTCAGTGTCCTAGGACTACTCTTGGTAACAAATTCTGTATTAGTCATTTATGAAGAAATATGAACATGGCTAACCCAGAGGAGCAATGAATGAAGCATAAGACTACTTATACCATTGTGCAAAGAGTTAAGGGAACAGAGAATAAATAGTAAAGAATCCAGAAACAAGAAACGGTAGAAATGTATTATTTCTGCAGAACCTAGAGAGAGCTATAGTTGTGATCCAAATGACCTGTGGCTTCAGAAAGCAAGGAAGGGAGAAGAACAAACACCCCGACCTCTTTCTCCTTTTACGTTCTCATAGTTTTCTGCTATCTCTCATTGGCCAAACTCAACTGGAAGTCAGATGGTAAGGGTTCTTTGGTAATGTGGACAGTAAAGCCTGTCTCAGGCCACAGACCAGATGAGAAGAAGAATGAACGTCTCAGTCTGTTCAGGCTGCTGTAACAGAAATTCCCTGGGCAAGGTGGCTTGTAAACAGCAATTGACTTATCATCATTCCAGAGACTGGGAAGTCTAAGATCAAGGAGCCAGAAGATTCTGTGTTTGGTGAGGGTCCATTCCTCATAGACTGCACTTCTGATTGTGTCCTCACATGGTAGAAGGGGCAAGGCAACGGGGCGTCTTTTGTAACAGCATTCATTCCATTCACGAGGGCTTCATCCTCATGACCTAATCATCTCCCAAAGACCACATCTTACGATACTTCCACATAAAGGATTAGGTTTCAACATATGAATTTGGGGAAATACAGACATTCAGACCACAGCTGTGAACAGTGGATCTAGAGGAAAGAATTGAATTTTTTTAAAAAGAAGCAAATGGTTTAAACTACTCACCAAATCATCAGTCAGTGATTGCTTATAAACCATGCTATAATAGGAACTGTGTTTTAAAAATTATTTGCTATAATGTAAGTCACATAATACTCCCATTCCTCCATGGAGACTATAAAATGAGGAGGAAAGGTCGACTTAGCATCTCTTACAGAGATTTTCAGGTACTGCTATCTATCACTCTGAATTTCCACTGGGGCAAAAAAAAAAATAAGATAAATTAATTTCTTTTTGTTTATTTTATTCTTATTTCCCACTGGGTCAAGAGAATAAATCACAGGTTGAAAAGAAATATTAAAAAATTAGTACCTCCAAATTCTTAGAATTTTATTCTTATTCATCAGTTTTTCACAACTATTATGAGCATTACTTAAGCCATCAGGCGACACAAAGTTAAAACACTTGAACTCTTTTCAACTTTTATTGGAACTGACAGAATTAAATTTTATTTCTTATAAAATATTCTTATCCTCTCCTTTGGAATGATGAGATTTTTGTCCCCAATAAAAGGCTGGGAAGTTTCTAACTCATGTTTTCTGAAGAAGCAGCATTAGCAACTGGTGTGCCCTAGACATGGGTGTCACTTCTCCTTCCCCCCACCTCCTTGTAAGCCCTACTTTATACATAAAACATTATTAAATCACCCCAAGAGAGAAATGAGACTCTGAAGCATCAGAAAATCCTTTTGATCTAGAGAATAATTCATGATCCACAACATGTTTAATTGCCTAAAGGAACAAAAAGGAAGCAAAGACGAAACAGAATGACTTCAACATGCTCATTGTCTGGTTAAAGGACTGTTAGGTTGCAATTTCTTCATTTACTACACTAACACCAGATGGTAAGCTGAAGTGTTCAGAGTATCTAAAATCTGTAGATAACCAACGAATAGTCATACTTTTTAGCTGATAACAGATATGTTTAATAGGAAGGCTGACCCTGGGAAAACCCAAAATGACAAATTTTGCTTTTGGTTTCTCTGCTGGTTTTAGAATCCAATCCTTTTCAATATTGACCCTAAAAATGTTCATACCTTTCTTTGCTTAGTGGAATATCCCAGATATCTCTATTGCCTTTAGATCTTCAAAATTTTCCTAACCTTATTTATATTAAAAATTCTATGAGTAATGAATTTACATTGGGTAATGTGATTGCTGCAGCCCCTGACTTCAAGGATTTCACAATAAGAAAGACAGAAAAGGAACAATAAAAATGCAATGTTATTAGAAAGGTGAAAGCTGCCTTCAGAAAGCAGTATGGGCATAGAGAAGAGAGAGGAACTAGAGGCACTCACAAAATAGGTTATGCTTGAACAGGATCTTGAAAAACATATAATGGCCATAATGTCCAGCATTTTTAACAATATACTGTTAAATTCATTTACTATGCATCATAATTTGTTCTTCACAGCAACCCTCTGTGGTAGATCTATTTTGATAAATGTATGTTATAGATGATAAAACAGAAGTTTAGTGTTGACTTAGCATCCTTCCCAAAGTGAGAAAACTAATATTTAGAATCGAGGAACTGTGTGGAGAGAGCAAGGTGTTCTAAAGAAACAAACAAAAAGAAGAAAATATGATAGGAAATGGAGTCTGAATGGAGAACTTTTTATGTTCCTTAGACCTTGAAATTAATTACAACAGGGAGAAACAAATCTCAAATTAGAAATCAACTGAATTTGCCCAGGGGTCTAACTTGAGGTGTGTGTTGCAGATGGGAATCTTGTCCAAAATGGAGAAAAGAAATGTAGCGGGTTTTGTTTGTTTTTTGTTTTTGTTTCTGTTTTTGCCAGTCCTTGAACCATCCCTTTGGCATCCTCTTAGTGTTCTCATTCAAAGAAAGATATTTATTGAACTCTTAGAATATTTCAGACACTCTTTTAAGTGTTAAAAACAAAAGTGATGCCAGGATTAGTTAGGTACCGACACATTACAATAATCTATGCACAATCGTATTAATTTTTAGTCTCTATATCCTCTTCTCACTAATGCACATTTTAATGTTGGCTCCCTGAGGATAGACCTTGTCAGTTTTGTCCAATCCATAGGAGTGACTTTGATGGCAGGAATTAAAGATCAGGTAACATTCTTCCTTCAGCAGCACATTTACTAAAGTTGGAATGATACAGAGGAGATTAGCCTGGCCTCTGCACAAGAATAACACAAAAATCTGTGAATCATTCTACATATTCAAGCTCAATGAGATCTGAGACAAGCCTGAAAAACAATACAAAGAAACTTCTAAATCAATCCAGGAAATAAACAAAGGAAGAAAAAAGCATCTTGAAAAGCAATCAATTAGAGCTTCAAGAATTAAAAAACTCACAAACTTTTAAAATACAATTACAAGATTTATCAACAGATCAGAACATGCAGAAGAAAGAATTTCAGAATGCAAAGATATCTTTTGAACTAACCCAGACAGACAAAAGTTTTTAAAACAGTAATCTTTTAAAATTAACAAAGTATTTGAGAAACATGGGATTATGTAAAGCAAACAAACCTATGAATTATTGACATTCTTGAGAGAGTAGAAAAAGTAAACCTGAGGCAATAATTTAATATTTCCCCAATCTTGTTGGAGAAGTAGACATCCAAGTAAAAGAAATCCAGGCAATGACTATAGGACTCTATACAAAATGTATATCACCAAGGCATATATGTGGTCACCAGACTGTCCAAGGTCAATGCTAAAGAGAAGAATCTTAAAGGCAGCTAGATCATAGTCCTTGCAAAGAGAACCCCCATCAGGCTGCAAGCAGACTTCTCAGCACAAATCTTACAAGTCACAAAAACTGAGGGGCTATTTTTGTTATTCTTAAAGGAAAGAAACTCCAACCAAGAATTTCATATCCCACCAAACTGAGCTTCAAAAGCAAAGAAGAAATAAATCATTTGCCAGACAAGCAAGCACTAAGGGAATGTGTTAGCACTATACCAGCCTTATAAGCGATCCTTAAGGTAGTTCTAAACAGGGAAATGGAAGAACGATACTTGCTACTGCAGAAGCAAACTTAAGTACATATCCCAAAGACCTCACAAGGTAATCACATAATAGAAACACAATAGAAACAGAGCAACCACCTGACAACTTCATGATAGGATCGAAACCTCAAATACAAATGTTAACCTTGAATTCATATAATCTAAACACCCCAATTAAAAGGCACAAAGTTCCAAGATGGATTAAAAAATCAAGGCCTATCCATCTTGTGTCTGCAGGAGACTTATCTCACACATAATGACACCCACAAGCTCAAAGTAAAGGGTTCGAGAAAGAACTATCACACAAATGGAAAACAAACAAAAAAAAAAGTAGGGGGAATCACTATTCTTATTGTAGATAAAATAAACCTTAAACCCACAACAGTAAAATAGGATAAAGAATGACATTACATAATAACAAAGTGTTCAATTCAACAAAAAGACTTAACTATTCCAAATATGTATGCACCCAACATTGGGGCACCCAGATGAATAAAACAATTACTTCTATACCTACAAGAAAACTTAGCCACACAATAATAGGGAGTTCAATACCCCACTGACAGCATTAGACAGATCATCAAGGCAGAAAAACAACATAGAAATTCTGGGCTTAAATTCGACATGTGACCAATTGGACTTAATAGACATCTATAGAGCGCTCCGACCATCAACCACAGAATATACATTTTTCTCATCTGCACAGAGAACATACTCCAAGATCAGCCATATGTTCAGCCAAAGTGTGTCTTAATAAATTTTTTTAATGGAATTCATACCAATCATACTTTCAGACCACAATGGAATAAAAATAAAAATGAAGACCAGAAAGATAGCTCAAAACCACACAATTACATGGAAATTAAACAATTTTCTCCTGAATTACTTTTGGGTAAACAACAAAACTGAGGCAAAAATAAAAGAACTCATTGAGGTAAATGGAAACAAAGACACAACTCCCCAAAAAGCTCTGGGATGCAGGAAAAGCAGCGTTTAGAGGAAAGTTTATGCTGCTAAACACCTACTTCAAAATGTTAGATCTCAAATTAAAGATCTGGCAGAGCACGGTGGCTCCAGCCTGTAATCCCAGCACTTTGTACATGATAGATGATCACTTGAGGTCAGGAGTATGAGACCAGCCTGGCCAACATGGTGAAACCCCATCTCTACTGAAAATACAAAAATTAGCCAGGTGTGGTGGTGCATGCCTGTAATCCCAGCTACTTGGGAGGCTGAGGCAGGAGTATCACTTGAACACAGGAGGTGGAGGTTGCAGTGAGACAAGTTCATGTCACTGAGCTCCAGCCTGTGCAACAGAGAAAGACTCTGTCAAAAAAAAAAAAAAGAATCTAACATTACACAAAAGGAAATAGAAAAATAAGAAAAACCACCTCCAAAGATAGCAGAAGAAAAGAAAAAACTAAAAAAAAAAAAAAAAGAAAACAAGAAATAACCAAAACCAGAGCAGAACTGAGTAAAATTGACACCAAAAATCCATACAAAAGTTGATTTTTTGAAGGGATAAACAAGATTGTTATACAGTTAGATTAATAAGCACAATCAGAAATGACAATGACCAAAATCACAACCAATCCCACAAAAATAAAAAAGATCCCCAAAGACTCTTATGAACACCTTTATGCATATAAACTAGAACTTCTGGAGAAAATGGATACATTTCTGGAAACACAAAACCTCCCTAAATTGAATCATGAAGAAATTGAAACCCTGAACAAATAAATGTTGAGTTCTGAAATTGTGTAAGTAATGAAAAACCTGCTAACTAAAAAGCCCTGGAACAGATGGATTAACAACCAAATTCTATGAGACATGCAAAGAAGAGTTAGTACCAAGGCTACTGAAATGATTCCAAAAAAAAGGAAGTAGAGAGACCCCTCCCTAACTTATTCTATAAAGCCAGGATTATCCTGATAACAAAACCTGATAAAGACACAATGTAAAAAGAAAACTGTAGGTGAATGTCTTTGATGAATGTAGACAGAAATATCCTCAACCAAACACTAGCAAACTGAATCTAACAGCACATCAAAAGTTAATTCACCACTGGCAATTAGGCTTAATTCCTGGGATGCAAGTTTGGTTCAACATATGCAAATCAATACATTTGATTCACCACATAAAGAGAATTAAAAACAAAATCCATGCTAGTTACTTAATAAATGTTGACTGACAAAATGTGAGGAGCTGCTAGCATCAATAGCTGTATTCCCTTTCAGAAGAGGAAATATTCCTTTTCAACCTTGCCACTATTCTAACTGAAATTCAATTATCCCTATCTCATATTTGCTATAGTAACTATAATTAACAGTTACCATAGTTTAAAGGCACAGTACAATTATTGTAAATAATCAAGTATAAATGACCTGGAAGCATTTTATTCAACCACTCAGAATAAGCTATACATTTTTAATGAGTTGCAAAATGTATCGTACCTAAAATATGTATATCACAATCAAAATATGAAAAAGGTTAATAATACATGAATGTAGAAAAATTTTAAAAAATCATATACTAAATATCTAAACATCCATATACAATATGAATATTTATGTATTTGTCTTTTAAACTTTTTGTGCATGTGTGTATGTGAGTGGGCATATTGTTTCTAAAGAGAATCACATCTATTTTTTCTTTGAAATTATAGTCAGTATACAAACAAAATGCAACAAACTAAAAAGTGTTCCATGTTTTAGATAAACTTTGATCTTCAATTCATAGAGTATTATTTCTCTTTGTTCTATGGCCTTTGGTCAGATACAATATATAGATTATGTAAGTGGGTAAAATCAATAATCATACGTAGAGGTTACAAAGGGCAATATTTTGAAACTGAATATAGAGTCCTTTGCTGGCATGTTACAGAAAACCTAAGAGTTTTATGAGATTATAATAAATGATAATGTTTTCAACCTCAGCAACTGGTCATCTTTTCCAGGATCCCAACTAAAATTAACCCAGGAGTCCAACAGAGTGAAAAAGTCAAAACTGTGGGCATATATATACATATATATAATATATAATGAATATATAAAATGAATATATATTATATGTGACATATACATAATAAATGTTTTAAGTAAATGATGGAACTAACATTCTGTAGCACTGATAAACGTTAATAAAAAAAAAATTTCTGTGTACTAAGCGGCTCCTTGAGCTGAATAATATTGGTATGCTTTAGATTTTAGATCAACTACTGAAATTGTTTTACTCTACTTTTAAACCTTACATTAATTAAAGTAGAAAAAGATACTGAAAGAAAGATTTCAGAGTCCATCTCCATGTTGAAAATGCTATGACCTTCAAAGAAAATCTGAAATTAATAAGATAAATGTAATAAAGTAAGTGATCAAAAAGTGTGGCAAAAGCAATAAAGGTTAAAATATTAACTCCAGGGTCAATATTCTAAAAAGTGAAAAACAATGGAAAGCCATGGAGACTGTGGAAAATGTTTGAGAAGTTGCTGATAGAAGCATTGTTACTAATAAAATGACTTCAATGAAGCACGCTTTTGCTATTATGGGCTATTGCTTCATAATTTAATGGACAGTAATATGATTAGCAAATGAAGTCAATATCAATTTTAATACTTTCAAATTTACCAACTTTAAAAACTTGTATTTTTTTCTCTATGTACCCATCTGAACCTATCTAAATGACATTGAAAGTCATCTCTTTTCAGTGTTATAGGAACTCTTTCAGGTCAGTGACATTTCAGTTAACTATCCACTAGGGAATTGGGGATTTGGTTAATGGAATTCTTTTTATGCAGATGCAGCATACCTGCCTGTATCACATAATTACAATCTTTCTAGCGGATCTCTTATTTATTTAATCATAAGATGTTTAGCAGGTTAATCATAACAAATTTCCAATCTAAAAGCTAATTGTTAAGTACACATTAGAATTTGAAGAGGCTTATAAAATAAAGAGATATTCATTCTTCATGACATCAGCACCATGAGATGAATCTGCTGGGCTCCTGTCCTCCCCCCTTTCTGTTCTGCTCTGGCTTTCTCTCATCTCCAGGAAATAGGCTCATGCTTTTCAATACATAACCTAAAGTGGACATTTAGTTCCAGTTCCTAAATTCTCCATGAAGATCTTTCTGATAGATTTAAATCAAGGAATAAGGAATGTTTCTTAACAGCCATGGAAAGTAAATCATGAGTAGCCTATTATTAAG